TGGTACAGATTAACTAACGGTTTGTGCACAGTTTTCAACAATTTTAAACATATACCTACTCATTATTGTGTTCATTTTTGAATCTGCGCTAATCATATTATGCCACTCAAATAGTCAAATACGATATCTACAATGTAAAATTACTTTTGGTAAAAATTCAAAATCTACGAATTTAAATTGACCATAATCGAAATGAAATAATACAATATCGTAAGATCCTTTTAAACGAAGTGCATGATATGCAATGTTGTAAATGCAGCTGTATTTTATACCGGTGGGTCACCCAAACAGTTATTTTAATAACAATATTAAAATGTTTTCAAATGTTCGTATGTGTTTGTCTGGGGTTTCGTAGGTTCCCACGAATTTTAGCAGCAGTGGTGTAGTGGAGGGTACACTGCGTGTACTCGGGGCTTAGTAAGTTCCCACACGAAACATATAGCAGGTAAGCGGGTACATATGTAAGTTCCCTCACGGAAAAAAAATACACCCGTACGTAAGTTCCCACACGAATATGTATTCAGACTTAGGACTGACAACTTAAACGTAGTTGGTTCAGATATATAATAAAAAATAATAATATAATGTGTAGGTCCACATATTATTTGTACTTTCGCAAGCGTTTGTAGTAAGACTTGTATCAGAACTAGCACTAGCCCCAATACTAGGTCAGAACGTACTGGTATATTCGATGACCGATGTAAAGAGTCACTAAATAATCTCAAAATTCGTTTCTATTTATTATTTTCTGGTTTTCAACCTCCGAAATATCTAGAAAACAATCTCCAACTTCTATGGGATTAATAAATGGTAAACCAAATATATGTACCAGTCAATTTCCCAATTACTCATTTGAAAAATTAAATTCTTGTGCATACCCTAAGCTTTGCATTTATCGGTACCAAGATTGAGTCAAATGGAAACGGCATACCCATATTTGTGCTGTCAGAAATATAATATTTATTGCTTGGTGCATCGATATCTCAAAGTCTACAAATTTATTTGGGTGTATTCCAACTGCATTTATTTTTTATTTAATAATTCAATATATGTTTTTAATAATTTATCAGGTAAAAAGCAAAACATTAATGGAATATAAATACTATTTTTTAATTCATGAACAGTATATTAGAGTTGAATAAATTTTTTATCAGAATAATTAAAATTACCATCCACATAAACTATTTCCAGTTTTTTCAAAAATTCAATATCAGTTTAACATAAAATTTTTATAATCTCATTTAAATCGTAATTTAAAAAAAAAATAAAACGTTCACCTCTATGAGCTTCTTTTCTTGACTGGTATTTTAGGAAAACAACTGGCTCTAGCATTCTAGAAATTTCTGGAAATTAGCTTTATACCAGACTTCGTATCAGACATTGACAAATTACTTTCGTTTTCATGTTGTGTAAGTTCTCGTCTGATCAAATTGATGGTTTTTCAACAATGCTATCTGCTGCTTTTCTTTTACAAGAATTACTTATTTGTTGACGATTTAAAGTAGTTTCTTCTTTATGGTTATGTACAAAACATGTAGTTTTATTTTCAACTGATTTTTCACTATCGGTGACCTCCCTAACATTTAGTACGGCACTTATTGTTTAAGCATATCTACCTAGGTAGTACTAGGTACATAATATATTTGCTGTAACGGTGTTTCTTATACAATTTATAATTATTATGGACTAAAAGAATTTTTCCATTTTTACTTAACATGGAATAAATTAAGTCAATTTTTATAAATTGTACCAATTTACCTATAGTAAATTTAATATTTGTTTAAATGTTAAATCTGTTAATATAATGGACGACTACTGAATTCGATAAAATAAGATGTCCATACTATATTTTGTATTATTATAGCCCATGACCATAGGTAATAAAGATAAGTTTAGATAAACTATATGAGTAAAAAAATATCAGATTATAACTTAAATATAATTACACGCAGTATGACTATGTGAAGTGTTTGAGCTTTCTCAATAAGCTAAATAAAATTTGATTTTATCTATTAGATACTACTATTATTATTATTTTTATTATTATTTTATATGTATATACAAATAATATGTGCAATATATTATAATATATTATAACTATACATTATAATATTATTATATATGCTAGTGGCGTAGCTAGTAATTTTGTATGGGGGGGGGGGGCTAAGTATACAAATTACAAATACAATATTTCTTTTATTTAAACTTTTTATTTTTTATTTTTTTAATAATCTTGATAAAATTCTAAGGTCAACACATTCAATGGCTATGAGGGGCTATAGCTCCCTTAGCCACCCCCCTGGATACTTCACTGGTATGTTATATTGTTATATGGACTAGATTCAATTAAAAATTGGATTAGACTTTTCTTTATGCAACACAAAAACAAACAAATTTCAACCACAACAACTACGTTTAAGTTGTCAGTCCTAAGTATGAATAAAATGAGAAAGAAGTTTGTATTTGGTATATTTTTTTTTCGTGAGGGAAATTAAGTATGGGTGTAATTTATTTCATGTGGGAACTTAAGTATGCATACGGCATACCCATTGCCCATGTGTGATTTTTACCTATAGGTCATTGAATTATAACACTGAAGTTGGTAGTAATAACAAATAATTGAGTTTTTTAATTAAAATATAAGTTAATAAAACTCGTAGAACAGAAATATTTATCATTCAATAAAATTCGCAGATAGTATATAAGTCAAAATATATTATAATACTTTGGTTATGTATATTATATATTTACAAAATTCAATAATTAGTTTAAAGATAAACAATATGAAAATATTATGTTTTTATATAGATAAACGCGATCAACTTTGGCAGTGAAAATATGTTTCAATTTTTTACAATTCTGTTAATTACATAAAAAATAGAAACATATTATCTAATTTGAACGTGTTTGTTAAAACCACTGTATATTACAATATAATACTGTGGCAAAAACAGTTCATTTAAAATATATATATATATATAGTATTATATTATATAAATAAATAAATAATTCACAATATATATATAATAAATATTATTGTATAATAATAATAATATTAATAATAATTAAGCTTAAACATTATTGACTTAAATTTCAACGTCAGAAAAGGTAACATTAAAAATAATATATATAATTTATAAATTATAAATTATTTGTGTGTGTGTCTAATGCTGACAAATATAATATAATGGATCTATTATTTATTATAAATAAAAAGAAACTAAAAATTAGGGTTTTAATTTTTCGATTGACTTCAAGCTTTATTTTTCTAACTGTCAGTCATTGATAGTTGTATTTCTACATTCTACAAGTTAAATAATAATTTTTAGGCTTGAGAATCAACTATATTATATTATGTATAATGTAATAATATAATAGAGATGGACAAATAGAAAAATAAAGTGATACGATTTTTCAATAGCAAAAGGGTTATTTATCCAAATATTATAAAAACTCAAAATTGAAATATTTTGAAGAAATAAAAGTTAAACAAAAAACATAGGTGCCTATTAGACTTTTCACGAAAGTTATTAATCGCGAAATTTTACATTATGTCTATATTATAATGTATAGTAATATATTTTATGTACAGATTACCTATTATTTGTTTAATTAATTTATATTTTCTACAATAAAACTAAAGCAATATACCTACATTTACTATGGATTCAAGTTTTCCAAAGAATCTATAGGTTAAATAAGACAGTGCATTTTTTATAGTTAATACCTATGTAAATTTAATTTAATTAACTGCTGTTTTTGTGAACTAATTGGTACTACGAGAATTAAGAAAGGTATGAACTGCGTGTCCTTGTAAAAATGCCATTAGTTAATAAATAAAATAATAATAAATCGGTTCATTCGGGAGATTGGATTGGTATATAGTGATTATATTTCAAGTAGAATTTTGTATTTACAAAGCAATCACCAACACTTTGATATCTGTTTAAATCAACAATAAATGTATTAGAAACTAATTTCAATGATAGTTTAAAATCACTGATACTATAAAAGATATATGTCATAGTTTATCTTTTACATAAATATATTCAACCAAATATCAAAGCACTCACCCGAAAAGTGTTATTTTTTAAAAATAAATAGAAAATAGTAATAATCCGAGGAAACTTGTACCGCTTCCGAGGACGACATATAGACAATTGTATTGTCATTCAAGTACATTCAGTGTCTCGTAAAGTTGTATGTTTAATAAAAAAAATAATATTTAAGTCTTTGGTATTTATGAAACTGTGGGATGTGAAACCGTTAATGTATCTAAATGTAACAATATGACATGCATAATCGCTGCAGTGTGGCTATTGCATTCGCTACTTTGCGATTTTTTTACAGCTGCAAAGACTATCATTATTACATGTACCTAATAGTTTTTTGCAAAATGTATGGAGTTTTATAAAAATGTTTATTCCGGAAAACTGAAGACGATTGCAAATTTAACATTATTCATTTATAAGCATTTAAAGTTTAGAGGCTACGGTGGGTCCATTCTGCAAACATATTTTGTGGTTCGCTAGATGTACTCCGCTCGTCTACACTTTAAATGTTTATTAATGGGTACAAAACAATTTGTCCACAATATTCGATATTCATAGATAGGTAGGTAGGTACATCAATATTTTTTCTACTGGAGTATTTTCTTGTTCAGTCGACAAACATGAAAAAAATAATATATATGATTGCGTCCCTTAGGTATACCTATAGTACCTTGAATTTTCAAAAACAGTGAATAATTTTCTAAGCAATAAGCGATTCCGCTGTTGGAAGTGAATCAATCGCCCTGTATACAATAATTAGTGTATAATAATAAAAATAGGCGTACACCTAACTAATTTTTAACTTTATGAGTATAAATATAATATTATTATGACCGCGCAACATCAGCAGCTCCTGCAGTTATATTATTGATTATTATACTGTAGTACAAGTCGTGTGCGACGTCGAAATCTCGCCCGTAATAATTATACTGCAGTTCGCGAACGCCATCAATATCGGTTGGCCGCCCTGCTCTGGTGATGGTGATGGTGGTGGTGATGCCTGGACGATTTCTTGTTGTGGTCCATCGGCGCCGCCGTCGACCGCGGGTGGTACACGTCGTTGACGACCAGCTCGGACCCGTCACGCATGCTCTCGACGCGCGGTGACCCGTCGGCCACGGTATCCTTACGCCTCCCGCCCGCGTGGTGGTGATGGTGGTGATGGTGCGGCCGCGAGTGTTTAGGAGACGCGGCTGACTGGTGCAGGTTCTCCCACGCCTGCCTGTAGTACCGGTTCAGGCCTCCCCGGCTCTCGGAACCTGACGAGTCCAGCGAGGCGACGGTGTTGGTGTCTGGCGACGCCCGGTGCCGGAAATGTTTGGCACTGCGATTCCTGCGAATGTGAATAAGATAGAAAATTTCATATTAATATGGAGGTATTGTACGTTATATATTGTGACCGCGAAGTGATGCGTTTGCTGAAAATTCGAAGATTTGCAATTATTATTTAAAAAAGGTTCGTTTTTCGTTTACCGCCAAAAATATTCTCGACACTATCATAACCATTGATTCATTTTTTGACGTAAAGAAACATTATAGGTAATAATATATTATGGTAGTATGTAAACGCCGTCAAGTGTACCTACCTACCTAGGGGCTATAGTTTAATCATGTTTGCACATTTGAGGGTGAGGGGGAGGGGCCTCGGGGTTCCATAGCACTTCCAGATTTCTAATAATCACTCCAATATTTTATATTAAATATATATTGACGCAATATTTGTTCTCTCTGAACCACGCGTAACATACGAAATTTACGTTTAGCAGAACCAATATCTTATAGGCTACAGCCTATGTATTGTTACTTTTAAAGCATTTGAGTGAATTCACCTTTTATCATACTTTAATCTAAGAATATTACCTGTATCAATACGTTGGATATTTTATGATATTTTGATTTTTATGTAAGTTATGAGTAGGTATGTAAATTATTACAATTTAAACATGCTTATAGATGTAAGCAATGTTTTTAACTTAAAGTTTGATAATAAGTGATTCCATTCATATAGGTACTACAAGTAGGTAACAGGATTGGTCTTACTATACATATATAATATATTGTGCGAACATCAAAGAGAGAAAATAAATGGGCTTACATTTTCCAAATCGCTTATAAATTATGGTCTGTATATTTTTATTTCAGAATTTATTTTCATATTGATATTTTTTGCTTACAAAATTTTAAATATTTGTGTAACAAAATTCTATTATAAAATCGAAAATTTATCTTGTACAACTATTAAAATTCACAATACAAATATACAATTAATTTAACAAATTGTAACTATCATTAAGTTTAAGTATCAAGTTAGCCCGAGGTCCTTCTCATTTCAAAGCCATTTGTTCTAATCAATATAATAAAAACTATTCAGAAATATGTGTAATATTATTTTCGACCTGAAAGGCAGCAATCGAACCTTTTCATATTTTGGCGGTAATGAAAAAGCTTTTGCGAAACAATTAATACATGCACTCATCATAATATAAGCGTGCGCACTGAGTTTGGTTTTTTTTATCATTGCTTATCGTTGAGAATTTCACTTAGAAGTTAGAATCCCGAATTTGTTTTCCATTATAATATAATTTAATTCTAAGCTCTTCGCTGCCCGTTGAACCGCATGTTATAAGTTACACCTGAATTAAAATATCCCGTGCGCACGCCTAAATACGAGTAAGGTATCCGTGGTCGTTCACTTTCGCGTCAACCGATCCAACATCCTAACTACAATAACACCGTGCTGCTTTATCCATAAAATATTATAAAATATAAAAGCGTGCGAAAAACTGAAGCATGTCGTGCGTCAAAACTGTGTGCCACAAAATAATAATATTATTGTTACGATAGTCGGACGAGAACAACGCAATAACAACAATAACAACAACAACAATACTAATAATGACGATAATAACAACAATTATAGCAGTGCGATTAGAAAACGTTGTGGTGATACATATCAGTCGTACCTTAGACTTATGGGTTTCGGGTAGGTATATGGTTTGTTTTTGTTTTGTTTTGTTTTGGTACGGGTACACGTTAAAATTCTAATGTGTCTATAGGTGCACGGTTATTGTCATAACGGGTTAGAGAAATAGCCAGCTCGGCTTCTATACGCCCTAGAGAACTGACGCCGTCCGACTTGCTGGTCGGGGAACGGCATTGCCAGTAGCGTATACCATCGGGACGGCATGTTATGCGCACCGGACGGAAGTTTGTGGTTCCTATTGCTGTAAACAAAAACAAAACAGCCCACATATAGCAGCCGACAAGCGATTTTTTGTTGTTAGTCGCACAGACACACAAGGATTTCAGACACGCACAATTTTTTTTTTAACTTAAGTCCTACACTGCTGCAGCACACCACGTAGTAAAATCACGTTACCTTTTCACAAGTATGACGATTGTGGTCACAACTGCTGCCAAGAATACAAATGCTCCGAACACACCCAACGCGATTATTGCTCCTGTTTTACAAATACACACAAAAAAAAATCGAAGGTATTATGGTTAGGTACTATTGAGTATTGTTTACGAAATTGTTTTAGTATAAATTACCCAAATTCAATTTGGGACCGAGCCGGTGTTCGCTTTCCACCTGAGACGGTATGTTGGCCGCATTCGGGTTTGTTCGGACGTGAACGCTATCCGGAATCTCGTTGTCATGCGGATGCGCCGAGGCGATTACCACATTGGATGACGTTTGGCCGCTATCGTCCTAATGAAGAGAAAGTAACATTATTTCTCTCAGTTTCCGGTTGATAAAGCACCGAATTTTCAGATTTGAACTAATAATCTCGGATAAACTATGTATCGAGCTTGCTTCAAATTTGTAATCCAAAGAAAGTGTATACGTCTACTTTTCTTTATAGTAGAATATTCATATACTAAATTAACATACCTGATCAGTAGCTGGTTTCGTTAATATAGTTGGCTTGGTTGTGAACGGCCGTGGTTTTTCACGATTAGGAGTCGGTGGCGCACGGCTGCTAGGAACAGTACTAGTCGATACAGTCTTGGTCACTAACACTGCCGGTACGATCGGTGTTTTGATTTCTTCTGTATAACAAATATTTTACGTTCAATATAGTAAATCATAAATAATCGAATACTATTTACTGAACGGAATATATTATAAATAACCACAATACTAACCTTTACAATAAGGTGGCTTATTATCGTACTGACCACTTGGTAAGCATACTAATTGTTTAGGTCCGACCAAACGGAATCGTCTAGACACACACGTGTACTCCACTAATGTACCAACAATGCTTTCATTGTTTGACATCTGGTATTCACCATTAGGAATTACCGGAGGATCATCACATTTTTGGACTTAACAGGAAAAAAGACATTTATAATAATTATATAAAAATTAAAAAGTTTTAAGAATATTATTTGTATTACCTGTACACTTTGGAGGTGGCCCATCCCATCTTTCGTCTAAATCACAAATTAATCTATCCCTGCCGATAATTTTATGTCCCTCATTGCAACTATATTGTACTTGGCTTAAGTAGTTGACGGTACCATTTATTAGCTTATAGCTACCGTTTGAAATGTCAGCAGGAAAACCACACTGAATTCCTATAAAAAAAACAGCAGTTTTAACTTAAGTTTTAACTGATTTAAAATATTTCTTTTAACTTACGTTTACACACTGGTGGAAATTCATTATAAAACCCTGTTCCGAGACACGTGCGAGTAGACGGCCCGATCAACAGGTGGCCCTCATCGCAAGAATACTCGACCGCAGTGCCCACATTGAAGTTTTCAGCTGTCATTGTTGAATTTGGAGGCTGTTCTGGCCTGCCACAAGCAGTTGGTTCTACGAAAAAAAATTTAAAAAAGATTTTATAACTATAATAATTACAGTTTATTTGTACATGCTATTTCTTTAATAATACTTAAAACAAATTAATATACGAACGGTGTTGACAAATGAAATTTAGCGGAGCATTGCAATTAGTATCCGACCATAACCAGCCTTTGGAACCATCAAATCGTGCGCAATCGCCTCCATTTATAGATGTCGTTTCAGAACCACTTGACGGTAAACTCCAGAAAGATACTGTTTGATCATCACCATTCAACCATTTCCAATTATTTTTGTTGTGAGCGTCTCTTACAGCACCCATCCAATATTGACTTTGTGAATCACTCCTAAAAATGTTTACCATAGAAATGTGAATTGGGAGTAAAATATAGAGAGGTAGTTAATAATGTTTGTGTATAGGTATATAGGTACAAATATTTGTATAATAGTATGCATACATATTGTTATACAACATACAAGATGGTTTATATGTAGTATTGGCCATAGAGTATTGTCATTTATTTTGATTTTTATACCATTTAAAGAGTGTCCTATGCTTAAACAAACTTATTTTTTTCAAATTAAAATTACTTTTTTTTTACCTTAAATTGTATAGCAGATTATTTTTTTGAAAAAGTTGATGTTTAATAAATATTTAAACTAGTTGTTTCTTCGTTATTAAAATGTATATACTAAGGATAAAAGCACTTTGGACTAAATAATCCCAAAACTATACTCGTTCAAATTATTATATTATATAATATCAACATTTTCAAAAAGCCTTCTGCTAATCAATTGACAGGAATTAAGAAAGATTGTCATATGAAATGAAAAAGGTCGGAATCATTTCTCTCTTTAAATTGAATACAATTCTAACTAATTGAAAACATAAACCTGCTTTTGATCTTGAGAGTATTAAAAAATCAAAATTCAAAATGCATTAATCATTATTAAATGAAAAATAGTGCAGGTTAGCATGCTTGGTAAATCACCATATATATACTATATATTAGTATTTAATAAAATTGAGTTTTTATTCAAATACACATATTTTAACTTGCCTGTGTCTCCTCCACAGTTCCCAGCTGACGAATCCCTGTAACGCAGGGTTACTTTCATCTACCAATGTTCCACCTCTTGATCTGCAAAACCCTAACGAGTCTCTTAAATTCATTGGCTGACGGTTATAAAATATATAACACTTTCCGTTATATGTAGCAGTACTTCCTGGTGGTTGATCTCTAAATTGTGGACATCTTTCAATTGGCAACGCCTGGAAATAATATGAATAAATTAAGTCATAACTATTGTTCTAAATTGTAGTAAGTAACTCGATTTTCCAATATTTTTTTTAAATATATAGATTAATTGTGTTTTAACAATAATAATTTATAATACCTATTATATTTAAACGTCATTAAAGTTGATCTTCAATCAAGTACCTATTCATTTACTTATATGTTTGCGTTAAAGTTGAAATATAAATGTTGTAATTTCATGAAACACTTACCTAGATACTTCATACGCTCTAATAAAATAAAGCCGATATTTTTATTCGGTACCTACCCATATTTTGTCTTTTGTAGGTACGCATCGGTAACATGAAAGTTTATTCGTAAATCTACATGCATTACTAATTATTGTACCACTAATCTATGTATGATATGTTAAAATAGTAGTGTATACTGTATCGTGAAATTCAAAATTCAACCAGAATCAATCTTGAACTATCAAGTAATAAATAAAAAAAAATGTATTGGTAAATTATAATTTTAATAAAAGTATTTATTTTTCGAAACAATAAAAATGTAACTAATATTATATTTAATAATTTTTATAATGGTAAAAAATATATAATTTAAACTAACTTGATTTTTGTTATTTTTAAATTTAATTTATGTAATGAATTTTATAAATGATACATAGGTATATATGATTTAATAATATTAATGTATAGTAAAAAAAATAATTAATTAATTAGATTGTTTTTTCACAACTTTTTTTTTTAATAATTAAACTAGTATTACAATCTATACATACATAAGAATAATAAGTAATTTTTATTTTATACTTAGTGATGACTGATGAGAATAGTGAGTTTGAGGGGACACTCAGTAGTGCGACACGAGTACATTACGACTTGTATAGCTTACCTTTACTGCTAATATATCTAATACTTATTTTGTAATATCATGTTTGTAATTTGTATTTCAAGTATCTAATGATAACGAATTTTACCTTTGTTCAATCATTTACAATGCAATTACTAAAATACTTAAATAACTAATAATCAGCAGGCTGAATTGTGTGGAATAATTAGTTATTGTATATTTGTATTTTTTAGATGAAGTATTTTTTTAATTTTTTTTTATATACTTTAACAGCTTACATTAATACGTTAAATTATAGAAAAACAGATTAAAGACTTTAACGGTAACATATTAGAGGTATTATATATGTAGGTATATTAACTATGTGTCTATGAACAATTTAAATTAATTTTAAATTGTATTTTGAATTGATTAAATTAACTAGAAATTTTATTTTTACATTACAAAACTTAAGTTTAATAAACTTACTTGATCTGTATAGACAAAAGCTTCACATATTGATAACTGAGTGGATCCACTAGCGGTTTCCATGTGGACACTAACGAACGCTCCTGGCATAGGTGGATTGCACGGAAGGAACAACGGTTTTCCTTCGTCAATAAACCCAGTGAATCGGTTGCATATAGGATTCGTGCCCAGGTCGGGCCTGTTGTTTCCCACTCGCACGACTATCGTAGCAGGTTTGTTTTTGCCTGTAATCAATGCCGACATAAGTTAACAGCCAACACTTACATTTTATTTATATAATTTAATGTAAACAATCCTAAGTAATGTTTATCGTGTCATTATGACAAGCCCTATTACTTGGGAAATCTTCAGACCATGTGAAAAGTTATTTTCCAAAAATCAAATGTATTTGCATTGTTTTATTATACAGAAGCGACAATATAGGTAGTTAGACAGTGACTATAATATAATATAATATAAGATACAATATACTAGTGTAGTGGGTACTACTTTCTTTGACCGGTTTCTTGTGCACGTTTTTCGCACGTGCTAATAGAATATTGAATGATAATATGAATTGGTTTTATTCATTGTAACTAATTTACCACACATACCTCTATGAATACAAGCAACTCAAAAATAATACAATATTTATATTTAGATTATAAAACTTTTTTTGTAATAACAAAATTCCTCCTGAAGTGAAAACAATCGTGTACTTTTTTTTATCTTTTTCATAAAATACCAGTATTTACATAATATAATTTACTGTTGGTAATATTTTCTTTTTCGCCAAATTGTATTGATTTTTATCAAAGTTTAAGATATTTAATATTATGAAGTCTATAAAAAATAAGAACTTCAAATTGTCAATCTAAAGTTTTGAACTAAATGAATAAATAAAAAGTTGATCATTTCCAGCGACCAACATACCTATGGTTATACCACAGGCTGAAGATATGCTGACAAACCATAATAAAAAGTCAAAACAATCAATATGAAAACTAAACAATTAATTGATAAATTAAATAAGTAAATAAGAACTACATTTGCATATTAAATGACGGATTCAATAGGTACTGATTCCATAAAATATGTTTTCTAAAACTGTACATCTATATTTTATTTTTAGATTGTGAGAGGATCGAATGTATTGGTTTTACAATGATGTGAGATTTTAAATTTTTTATTTTTGCGTTTGTCATCACAGTTGGGGGCAGTAAAACTGCTTCGATTTTCTTCAACAGTATCTTTTTTTCGATTAAAAGTTGATGTATTCGGGAGGTCAACATTTAAAATTCTCGATAATTTTCAAAAGCCGATTGAAAAACAAAATAAAAATTAAGGAAATACGGGAATTTATACGCAAAATCAATTTTGGTTTTTGTGTGACTCTAAAACAAATGGCTGTAGATACATTAAATTTTCACTGGTTGTTTTATTAGAATTTTCTATACACGATAAAATTTTCAAAATATTTTGATTTGTTTTAAACTGTTTATGGACGTGGTATCGCTGCATGAGAGTGAACCGTTTGCACAATACTTACCCCCAAAATACTTACTCCAGAAAAAAAACTATACCTATCAGATCATAACATTTTGTGCTAGGACCCATTATTTTTAAAGTATCTATTGTTATATAAAGTTGAGGTATATATTTAACACAGTTCTGCAACTCTTTAGAAACTATTATAATCAGATAAATCAAAATATATTTTAAATATAGGTTAAGCAGCGTTACTACCTACATGCTTTTTTACGAGGTACGTAGGTAAATAGGTAGGTGGGTAGTTGTTTTATTGCACCAATAGTAATTTATCTACATTTTTTTTTTTTTTTTTAATAGGTTAAATCATACAATTTTCCCAATTATTTATAACTTTTTTTAGATGACCTAAAATTATATTCTGAAATTAAATTTATAATGTTAATTTTTAGAAAAATGTGATCAGAAAAATAAATTCTCGATGCTTTTTGGCATTAGTGCTAACGAACGATCTCGATATCAATTTTGATAATTGAATAAGTACAGTACTTTAAATTAGGTACTTGTAACACTTATATTGTGGTCAATATCGATGTATTAATAAAATATATCTACAAACTAACTATATACAATTATTGATTATGTCGGTATGCTTCGTATTCCTCATGTAAAATATTGGAAGTTTCGTTGTTTTATTTATTAAAATAAAAATTAATAATTTGTAGTTAAATAATTGTATATTTTTAATTAATATACTTTTTACTTAAATATGGTTCCTATTAAAATTAATTCAGAGTAAATTTTGACTTGGTTGATAACTTATATTATATAATAACACCTACTACTTAATTAACTGTATATTATTATAGTATTATAGAGTTCAAAAAATATTTCTTTATAATATGTACCTATGTTTGTTTTAAATCTTACTGAATAAAAACACCTTTAGTTTTTATTTAATTTAACTATTTAAGTAGAAAAAGGTGGGTAAGTGGATGTCGCTCTGCTGTACTGTAGGTTACAAGTGGGTCACTGTATAATGGATGGTATTAAATTTGAATGCAATGATATAATATCATTGTATAAGAAAAACGACTCTGAGCGGAGACGGTATGTCAGTCTAGGTATAAGACATATTATATACTTTTCTATAGTATTAAATTATATGGAATTTATGAATAAATTTCTTAAAATATGCACAGTCTTATCGTGAGCATAATTCTTATTCCTTATACTATGGTAGATTGTATGGATAGGCCATAATATTTTGATTTTTCAGTTTCATATATCCCCGAATAATATTTTTAAATTACAACAAAAACAAAGATCGTTAATATTGATTTTAATATGTAATTTCGTCCGAATTTGAATTTAAAATGTCTGTAAAAAATAACTGTGTTCATATATTTTTTAGATTTTTTGGTTACAGTATGAACTATTTATGAGAACCTTTGTTTTAAATTTGCAATCTTTAGCTATAAAAACTGAACATTTTATAATTTATTAATTACAATGATTGATAATTTTCGAGATTTTGATAAATTTTGTCAAAATTCGATGTTAAAATGCTTATAAAAAAAAATTGTGCCTATGTATTTTTAATATTTTTCAATTGCTACTGTAACAATATATCAGGAACCTTGTATTTAATTTTTACACATTTTGGCCCAACAGATGAAACTTTATTGATATTTATAGAAAAAAAAACTAAAAAAATTGAAAACTGAAAATGTCCGTAAACAGCTTAAAAAGAGTCGAAATATTTTCAAAATTTTACAGTTTATAGGAAATGTTAATCTGAACATTCAGTGAAATTTTAATGTATCTATAGTTATTCGTTTTTGAATTACAACAAAATAAGAAAATCGTTACATGAGAAATCAAGTGAATATCCAATGTTGTAAAAATTTGAATTTCAAACGCTCATAAAAATTTAATTTGACTTTCCGGTAGAGATTTTTTTATTGATAAAGGTAGAAAATCTTATGAGTAATCTTGTATTAGATTTTCAAATCTTAGATTTAAAAAGAAAAATTTTTACGAATTCTTAACTCAAAATAATTTGCTAATTTTCGTGATTTTTCCATATTTTGTCAATTTTTGAACTTTAAATGCTTATAAAAAAAAACTGTGACTAACGATTTTTCATATTTTTCATCTGCCTTTGAAACAATATACTAGGAGCCTTCTATTAAATTTTCAAGTTTTTTTAACCAACAAATAAAATTTGATTGATATTTCTAGAAAAAAAACTAAAAGAAAATGAAAAATGAAAATGTCCCTAAACAGTTCAAAATAAATCAAAATATTTTGAAAATGTTATCGTGTATAGAAAATGCAAATATAAATAACCATTGAAAATTTCATGTATCTACGGTTATTTGTTTTAAAGTTACACCAAAAACCAAATTCAATTTTCTGAAAAACAATTTTGCGTAAAAATTCCTGTTTTTCCTTAATTTTTCTTTTGTTTTTCTTGGCGCTTTTGAAAAGTACTGGGAATTTTAAAATTTGACCTTCCCAATGCACCAACGATATTTCCAATCGAACAAGATACCTACTGAAGTCGAAAATCGAAGCATTATTTCGACTACTTATCGTGTACACAAACACAAAAAAAAAATAAAAAAAAAATATAAAAACACACATCATTGTAAAATCAATACATTCATCGTTCCACTCAGAATCTAAAATGTATTAGAATGGAATTAATTCTATAGTTATAATAGTAAGAGAAAATATGTTGGTGTCTCGTGCCATTTTATTGTATAAATAATCAATTTATTATTAATTTACAACGATCTCCATTCTCCATTATTATTTTACATTCCATTTTATCAGTTCAAGAATGTTAAGTTTTTATTTTTCGATATTCAGGTTCTTAGTATAATCACCCCATTAGGAAATTACCATTTTATTATCAATTAGAAATAATTTAACAAATTCTCAATTCTTGTTTGTTTTCAAAACCCAAAATGTACACAAAATTAAAATCACTTTGTCTTGAATAATATCTCAAATTATATTCCATTCTTTATAAAACGGCATTAACATTATCATATTATTTTTAAAGCATTTTTTTTTTGTATGACACACCTTTAAGGAAATCTGGAAATGTAAATAAATAAATATGGCTGTTAAGTGGTTATATATTTTTACGACGTTATCGACTATCGTAGTATTAATAAATAAATTTAAAATAAATTTGAATATCTAAATTAACGAAAAGACTTAATTAATATACTTAATTTGCATTACTCTAATTAAGATTCTGGCGTATGCTGGATTTAATTAACCAATCAATTGTATACGATTTAATTTCTCATTTATTTTCATGGTAATTCTCGTAATAAAAATAAAATATTATGACTTGATTATTTGTACTTGATAATTATCAAATACTTTCTCAGCATCATTTAAAACTGTTGGTATTATGATTTATAATGTTGCTGTACTGCACTTTTTATACCTAACCTATCAGCTAAAAAGTTTTCTTATTTTCGTTTATCTATGGTAACAATTTTAAATTAAAATACTCACCACAACAGGCTTTACCGAAATCCAGTCTCACCAACTGTACCATGTATGGTTCCAACAAATTAACATACCACCATGGGGTACGTTCCGGTTTAGTGAGTGTGCATGTTTCGGGGCTGAAAAATGAACTGGTGCTACCATCGATGGCTTTTTGAGGTAGGCCGCCGGGTTCTGAGCTGATTTGCATAGGCGCTTTGCCCGCAGCAACATTTAACACTATACAACAAATTAAAGGCAAAACATTATATTGTATATAATACGACTATTTACATATGTAGGTTTGTCATACACAGTGAAATCTTGTAAAACTGGTGTAATTATAAGATAATATAATTTATAAGTTACAATATTATACATATATTTAAAACGAAAGTACTATAGCTGAAAAAATACTGGATCATTTAAAGAACTATGTTTTTAATCCAAAATTTTTACTATCATTTATAATCTGTAGGTATCCTACTTTCTTTCATAAGAATTTTAACCGTTTGAATATTATATTGCTATATTATAATATTTTAATAAATTAAAACTAACCTATTCACAGTTTTGGTATATATAGGGATTATACATACCCAATACATAACTACTATACTATATTATGTGATAATAATTTCGTAAGTGAATCAATGATTATCATGTATTAAACTCAAGCTCTAAATATTCGTATTACTTCACTTTTTAGTTTGTGCGAGAAAACCAAAGCGAATTTGCCATGTAAAATCATAAGATCCAATAGCATCACGGTCGTATCGAACGATCGAGTTTGTGGGTCATAGAACATGGATCAGCGTAAACGTCGTAGTTCTTACCTCAACCATAATAATAGTAACAATAAAAAATATGTTTAAAGAAAGAAAGATAGAAAAGAAATTCTATCCGTTATTTTAATTAGGTATGGGTTTTTAATTTTTAGTAAGTTTTAAATTTGTTTTTTGTTATTCTTATTTGATTCTGTTACGATGCCGTGTTTGGGTACAATTTATTTTCCATTTAAAACCATATAGATTACATGAAATTTAACGACAAGTGCTCATGAAAATTACTTATAATAATTATATTTATTAATTTAGTATGCTACACCATAAGTAGGTACATAACACATGGCGATAAATTGTTTATTTTTTGGACTGAAAACTGTGTTCGTGTTCGTTGCATTTGCCATTGCTCTGGATATACATATACTTATAGGTACTGCACATCGATTAAAGTTTTCCGGAAGAAGTCGCGCATGATCCTCCGAGGAGAATTCAATTTGTTTCGCTTCGGTCGAGCAATTATTATACGTGCACTAACACAATAACACTAAATATAAGATATAGGCATACCATATTATATACATATTGTTATAATATACCTACCTACGCGCGGTGGCTGCATGGAAATTTCGTCTTAAACGTTTTTGTATTATAATATAGACATATTATAGAAATAATTTACCGGATCACTCGAGCTCATTATTTTTGGTCATAATATAGTATAATATATTATAATGTAACACATTGTGTCGTAAAAATACAAAAGATAACAGAGCAGTAAATACATCAAGTATCTATCATAGAGCCATGACTCAAAATCGACTTTGGAAATTTTCAGTACACACTTCGTCATGTTAGTATGTATGTATATGTGTGTGTGTGTGTGTGTGTGTGTGTGTGTGTGTGTCTATAACATAGTTAGTATCGTGAAAATATAATAATAATATATGCGTATGCACGGCGTTATAGCCTGGAAACTTTCCTATATGTAGGTCTTCCGGCCGGATGGAACGCAGCCAGTGAAAGCGGAGGGAGTGGTCATGGTCCGTGTGATTCAACCTCCTCGACGGTTAGCAATAACACAAACCCTATATTATTAGTTGTGTCAACAGACATATAAAATACTATCATACTTCCTAATAATGGAATTCCTAACCACACCAGCGCAGACATTAAGACGGAATTCTGACTGTTAATCATCACATAATTGGCTATATAGGCACCTATACATCCTACATAGGTACTTAAGAAATAATTTTCTCCTTACGACCTTGCTGTTAAGTAGGTACCCATAATCCTGCTTGGAAATGAATCATTCATATAACGTAATTTTACGTAGTGATTTAAACTTTAGACGGTTTTAAAATTTAAATACTATATGTGTACCTATATTATGTATTACATAAAATATTAATTCCAATAAAATCCATGCTTTATCCACGGAACTATTTAATTTTCAACCAATACTTGAATAAATGAAGATTAGAAAACTGAGTAGGAATTCTGCATACGCTTAAATGTTTAATATTAACAAACTCCGATTTAAAGTAACAACATCGTTTGTATTTTATTAGTTAAATAAAATAAGCGTAAATAAATGACCATTAATAGTGTAAACTTAGCCCCCAATTTTTGGGTTGTAAAAATTGTATAATATGTGTCTTGATTTTATAAATTAAAAGTATATAAACCTATTCAAATACGAATTTTTTTCATTTTTATATGATTAAGAGCTTATGGAAATTTGTAATTTAGTCTTTAGATACTATAATGTACCTACAATACACAATAATTTCTCTTTTCAAAATAGTAGTAATGATAAGATGGCTTTTTTAAAAATATTTTAAGCTACTTTTATCCTTTGTAATATTTATGATAAATTAATCGATAAATAAATATTTACATTTTGTTATTTTCGTGTTTTTTAATAGTGCTTTCCAGCAACTTACGATTTTGTACTTTATAATTTTGTTCGCAATAAAATAGATACATTCATATTTACCTGTAGATTAAAATTGCCAGTGTTTACTGTTTACAATATTATTGTAATTTTATCGGTAAAATTTATCAAAGCTGAATAATAAAAAAAAAATATAAATCAAAAATAAAATTTATCTTTTTACTATAGGTACCTATAACCTACCTACCTAATATTGCCGGCTCATGTTACCAATTAAAATTAGCCTAAATTAATATACCACTGATTAATAATTATTACAACTTACATGCAAAAATAATAAAATACATATTATATTATATTCTACTTTAATATACCTGATATTTTGTAAATTCGTTTTTGGATCAATCTCTTTATACGATTCTTAACACCGACATGATGATTAAAAATTGTTTAGAAGTATTATTATCAAAAAGTCAATTACACCTTGTAAAAAAAACATTCTCACGCATGGTCGTTGTTTAATGTTGTAAACCATTATAAACCGATGAACAAAAATAATGATGATTATGTTGGAAACTTATTGACGAAAAAACACAGTGATCGCTAACTGCAGTTATTGGTTGAACAGACGAATTGTCGGAAAACCTAGAGCACGTTTCAAGTGAGGTAGAACCGGTTGTATATTCGTCCGTTCAATTTTTTCTATGGTATTCTCGTCTACAATCTACGAGGCAAATGAAAAATAAAACCGACGTGCTTTATTCAATTGGCAAAGAAAACCATCATTTTTGTGTAGAGTCTGTGGTTTGTGCAGTTCCAAATGAGTGGACTCGCCGACGGACAAGCAAAAAGCGAAAATTACACTATACTATTGAAACTATTGTTGATCGACCCCTCCATAAGCCCCGATGATTGGTCCTCAGGTCATGCAACTCTTACTATACCTCTTACCCCTAATAACAAAATTGACTACATTGCGAATAGGTACATTTTATTTAAGTATTAATAAATAAGTTTGACAGAAATATATTCGAAATGTTTATAATTGTTGCTACTTAAATTAATTTAGACTTTCGAAAAATTAAAAATGATATATATAATTGAAATGACCAATTTTTGTTTTTTTTTTTGTAACGTACATAATATATGTTAACAGGCTACTGAGCGTAACAATGAAAATGGGCTTGTTACTGTTACTTTCATACATAGATGTTGTTGTTTTTTTGAATAATGTTTGAAATATAGATGACCTGCTGGGAGATAATGTTATGACCCCTCGGTAAAAGTTTCACTTGCGTGATCTATTGTTTCACTTGACAAAGCATATTATAAGTAAGGAAAAAAACGAATGCGATCTCACATTAACCAACAACTAGCACTTAGAATTTAGAAACAAACAAACCTAAAGTTTTAAAAAACACATTTTGAAAAATAAAAAAAATGGTATGTCAATTGTTTGTTATATATTATTCTATTTACCTATCTGGTTGATTTTTTATTTCTTAAGATCGACAAACACTATAATTTTTTATTCTAATATTCACGTGTGTAGATATAAATGCATTTGGACATCATATATCGAATGAAATTCTTCATGAAGCATGAACACGATAAACATTTTTATCGAACTATACCTCCGAGGCTCTGAATCATAATAATATATCAGTAAATTACGTAACAAATACATCGCGACTATAATATAATATAATATAATATATAGGTATCGTATAAACGTATATATAATAACTTTGGTATGTGGATAAAATATATATTTTTTTAATAAAGATTAACAAATATTGAGTTTCTATAGTTCGGGGGAGATTTGTTTATAATTTGACATGGGTGGATTGCCAGAAAGTGGAACAACTGGTTTTTGAATGTTGTTTAAAAGGGTCCAACCCCATTATAGGAAGGTTAGTTATCTATAGGCGTACAGTGAAAAACGTATAATTTAACAACGATGTATCATGCACCTGTTCGTTTCTTTACTTTCGAAAATAATTGTTTCGTGAGCCAATACAATAAAATAAAACAAAATGTTGAAATAATATTATCATTTACATCTAAAAAATGTACCTATAATATGAAATTCAAAGATTCAAAAAATTTGATGCATATATAGGAATTAACTTAATACTAAAATAAACAATAAATAAATAAAGTTGCTAGACACAAAATCATGTAAATATAATTCAGAATGTCCTTACCAACTTCGGTTACCATTTAGTATAGACTATAGAATAACTTTATATTATAGATACACTCTTATAGTCGAGAATAAGAATATAATTGTGATTTGTGAACAGTTCAAATAAATAATTTAAAAGTTTCATAGAGTTTGTCGTCGTTGTTATTACGATTTTTACAATGTAAATGTGTACCTAATATAATAACGAATGACAAATATAATGTATTTGTTATATTATAGAATATAATAATAATAATATAATTATTTTGTAGAAAACATAGAAGCCAGGAGTATTATTATTTATTGCCATTATTATACTCTTATACTCAGACTATTGAGGCATAAGGACTAAGGAGAGTATAGTGCTTTT